GGCCAAGTTTAGGTTAGGTGGTTTTAGACATGGGAAATGCAGGGGTAGGAGAGTGGGTCTGGGTGGGATGCTCTTCGGAGGGGCGGTGTGGACTTGTTGTGCTGAATGGCCTATTTCCAAACTGTAAGTGTCCTATGATTCGTAAGGGGCTCAAGGGTTAGGGGGAGAAAGCAGGAGAATGGGGTTGAGAAATATATCAGCCCTGATTGAATGGCGGAGCAGATTAAATGGACTGAATGGCCAAATTCTGTTGCTGTGTTTTATGGGCATTTTCAATCTGATGGTCAGGTTGTGGGATTATCTGTCATGAGAAGAAGTGAAAGTGTATTGAATTAATAATTAAAATAAGGATCAGAATTACTACTACAGTGTTTCTTCTTTGCTGCATTATGTGGGATTGATGCACTGAAACACAGGTCAACAAATATATACTGTAATTAAAACAGTAAAATGTGAAAGCACTCAGGAGGTCACAGCAGCATATCGGGGAGGGAAACAAAATTTATGCTTTATCTCGTTGACTCGTCAGTAGAACATTGATCTTGCTAAGTGTTTATCAGCCTTTTCGGTTTTGATTTCAGATTTCTAGCTTTTGCAGTGTTTTGCTATCATCATGTGTATGAAAGTCACAGGAACACGTCCTCGGGCTGTAGCCAGATGCATTTCATTCATCAGTTACTAAGAGAACTAAGACTGCAGCTAAAAAGGTATCTGTAACATGAGATAGCAAGAACTGCAGATGCTGGAGTTGGAGACAACACAGTACGGAGCTGGAGGAACACAGCAGGCCAGGCAGTATCAGAGGAGCAGGAAAGTTGATGTTTTGGGTCAGGACCCTTCTTCAGAAATGGGGAGAGGGAAGGGAGCTGGGAAATAAATAGGGAGAGGAAGGATGGGGCTGGGGAATTTTTATAGGATGGTGATAGGTGAGTGCAGGTAGGGAGTAGTGGGGATTGGTCAGTGGGAAGGGTGGGGCAGATTGGTGGGAGAGAAGATGGACAGGTTGTGTCAGGTCAAGGGGGCGGGAACGAGAGGGAGGGTTGGACATGGGATGAGGAGATTTTTGTAATACTGTGTTACAATGACACCACCCGCAAACTGGAGGAGCAACACCTCATTTTCCTCCTTTGGATCATATAGCCCATGGCTTAAACGTAGAATTCACCAGTTTTAAAATCTCCCCAACCCCATCCTCATCCCATATCCAACCCACCCTCTCATCCCTGCCTCTTTGACCTGACACAACCTGTCCATCTACTCTCCTACCTATCTGCCCCATCCATCCCACTGACCAATCCCCACAACTCCCTACCTGCACTCACCTACTACCATCCCACCTACCTTCCCCAGCCCCACTCCTCCTCTCTCCATTTATTTCCCAGCTCCTTTCCCCCTCCCCATTTCTGAAGAAGGGTCCCAATCCGAAACGTCAACTTTCCTGCTCCTCTGATGCTGCCTGGCATGCTGTGTTCCTTCAGCTCTATACTGTGTTGTATCTGTAACATGATTTTTTTTTGCCTTTATTCATTTCATTTTCAAGAGAGTGTGTAGCTGAGAATTGTGGTGTCTTAAAATCCAGGAAAGGAGTAGGAGATAGGAAATGTATTCTGCATAATTTTCTTGTGATGTTTTTGTCACAAAAATAAATATTTAATGAACAAAGGGGTGTTCAAATGTGGAAAAGTTATTGAATGTAGATAAGCACAGGCAACTTCAGTTGACTTCAGGAAATGATAGATAATGTTGGTTGGCTGTAGGTAAGGACAGGAATTTTGGCCAGCTGTAGGTAAGGATAGTCAGTATTGGGTCACTGTTGGTAAGGATAGGTGACACCAGTCTCAACTGTTGGTAAGGACAGGCAACCCAATCGACTGTAAATAAACACAGGTAGCATTTGCTGACTGTCTAAATAATGAAAGAGATTGTTGAGGATTGGGACGTTGTTGAGACATATTGATTGTAATTGAGTTGAAGATAAGACAGATTCATAAAAAGGAGAATTAAATACTTTGCACTAAGGAGGCTTTCAAGAGGAGTGTACACTAAACAATATCTCTTACATAAATCATGAAACATTAATGAAGGGCAGGATAGATAGATAAGAGAACAAGGAAGGTTCCTTAACATTATGTCTCTGTGGTGACCTACCTATGACTAATATCACTTCAAATGAATTGAAACCCCAAAGGTTTGGGAACCTCTGTGTTGGAGATGAATCTGATTACTTCATTCAGGTGCTAATAGTGGGAACTCCAGGGTATCGTAAAGCAGAACAGTAATAAAATTAAGTTACTAGCAGTCAACACAAAATATCTTTTAGTCCCAATTTCAAACAAGTTCACCTTATTACATCTTTGTGCAGGTTTCCATATCCACTCTCTGAAATAGCAATATGGCGCAAGCTCCAGTCTAATTGTGGTGTGTCCTTGCCTATGAGGAAAATAACAAGACCAGTCTAAACTCATTTCCTATTGGTCCCATTGTAGCCAACAGAAGGGACATTTACACCATCATGTTTGTATTTGACTAGTTTGCTTTCCTTGGTGTGTACTGATATGTAGATGTATAGGACCATAACAATCTGGTCATATACAGGCTTGGTCTAATAAATGGAGAAAAAGTAAATTCAGATGCCACCATGTCAGAGAACTTAAACTGAGTTTAAAATTAATTCACAGGTCGTGTGCATCGCTGGCAACGTGGACATTTATTTTGCATCACAAGTTGCTGTTGAGAGTGTGGTAATGAACAGCTTTATGAAAATACTTGTGTCTGTGTGGTGAAGGTACACCCTCATTGCTGTTAGGTAGAGAATTCCATTCTGATGATGGTGAAGGAACAATGATAATGTCTGTGGGAATGGTGTGTGACTTGTGTTCTTGAGGTGGAGGTTGCGGATTTGAGAAGTCCTTTCAAAGACATTTTGATGAGTTGTTACAGTACATCCTCATTCGCCATCTATTGCTGCATTCCGCAACCCTCACACTCAAATATCATTCAGTATGACAATGAACCCCAATCTTTGCTGCTTGACACAGTTCAAGAGTAGTGAAAAGTTTCTATATCACTTTCACAAGGCACAGTTACATTGGGACTCGCTATTTATTTCCAGATCTTACCAAAGCAGTAATGAGATCTCATGTCTGTCACCTAAATGATTTTGGTTTCATTTTCTTCCAGGTAATTCTAATTAAGTGATGATTCATTCACTCATCAATGTAAATATTATCATGCAGAGGCCCATGTAACGTCCCTTAAATCTATCTTTTTATATTAGGAATTGCTACAAGTGGAGCAGATAGATCTGATAGTGTTGACAGTTCAGTTATAAGGGGTGGGTAATTCTCTAGCAATCCTGCAATGGACCTCAGATGGGATCTAATATTGGAACAGAAAATAATACAGGAATTATGAACTGAGACTTGGACACAGACAAAGAAAACTGGGGATGGGGACCGGTCAGGCAAGAGAGGATGAGAGACAGAGAAACAACAGACAGAGAAAGAGGGAGGAATGAGAGAGATGACATGGGGAGATGGAGTCAGAGAGAGAAGTCCTGATGTAAATTTTGGGCGAGTCTTCCCAATAACCCCTTCTGCTGTCCAGCTTGCCTCACAGCTGTTTAAAAGCTACTGGGACATTAAATTGGCTAGAATCGGCCTCCTGCTCCCACTTGGAACAGTGACTCCAAAGTGACTCCTGCTAGGACTGCAGTCAGACCCTGGGGAATGTGGACAGAGAAGGATCCTGGTGTTCCTGGTGAGTCCAGGGTTACACTGGCAAGGCTGTGAGGAGGTGCCATGCCCTCCATCTGTTTACTGGTAGTGCCAGACTACCCTGCCATGTGTTAAACCTACGCCAGTGGGAAGGGACCTAGAAGTGACATATGGGCTATCCAACATCTCCCCCTCTAAAATTGCAGTGGACTGGAGGCAAACAGCATGTGCTGTGAACGGTGCCACTGTCATGGCACCCAGTCTTATGGCTTCCCCCAGCACCCTGATAACCCACTCCAAGGGGGCCATAAAATTCAGCCCAGAGAGAGTGAGGCAGTCAGAGTAAGCATGACGGGCTGGTGAAGGGACCTAGAGTGAGACAAAGAAAGAGAGAAAGACAGGTCGACAGAGTAGATTGAGAGGAGCTAAAAGTGACAATGAGGCAGATAGAGAGGAAGAGTTACAGAGACGGGAGTGTGACAGAGAAAAAGAGAAATGCAAAGAGAGAGAGAGAGAGAGACACACACACAGGCATATCATAGAGAAGAGTGGGCTACAAGAGACAGCCTCAAAGAAAAGCACAGAGAGCCATATGGTGAGTGAGAGACAGAAAGACACACAAAGAGAGAGACTAAGACGGTGTAATGTTCGGCTGTGTTCACTTAATGCAATGAATAGCTGGAGAACGATTACTGATGTAGAGAAAGTGCTTATAGTGATTTTGGTGGGGATGGTGAATTGGTGCAGCATTTGGGAGAAGCAGTTTGTTTATTGCTTTGTCATTTCTGCTGAATCTGGATGAATCTGCAAAGCACAGAACTGCCGTTTCAGAATCTGTATATTCTTTAGATTGTCCAGCAATCTATGCAGGTTAACAGCCGTGATTGCGCAAGCTGTGCATTTCAGGCACAGAGCTAAGGGAACACATTCAAGCAGGTGTTGTTCAGTAGTCAAGGGACTTGAATGTAAAAGAACTGTTACCCAGGTAACAAGGTGCATTAGTGCAAGGAATATTTTAGTCAAAGCTCCAGTTCATTTCTTATAGGGGAAGAAATGCTGTGAGTAAGACTGACCATTGTGAAACTTCGATTCTGATCATTTATTTAATGTTTGCCTGGCTCCTGTTGGGTGAGATGTGGTGACGGGGCACATTTTCACTTGCTCTGTCTTTAGTGGTTTACTAACAGATAAAAAAGACTTCAGCTACCTCAGGAAATCCCAAAGCACTTTACAACATTTTGATGTTTAGTTCACCTTTGTAAGATCAGGGGCAATTGCCAATTTGAGCATAACAAATTGAAACATATAAGATTCTTAGGGGGCTCGACAGGGTGGATGTTGAGAACATGTTTCTTCTCGGAGTCTTGAACTAGGGGACACAGATTCAAAATAAGGCATCTCCCATTTAAGACAGAGATGAGAAGGAATTGTCTTAGCCATTGAATATATTCAAGAACAAAAACAAAGTTGCTGGAAAAGCTCAGCAGCTCTGGCAGCATCTGTGAAGGAAAAAACAGAGTTAACGTTTCGGGTCCAGTGACCCTTCCTCAGAACTGATGGTGGCTGGGAAAACGTCAGTTTATATGCAGAAAAAAGGGGAGGGGGATGGGTAGGGAGTAAATGATAGGATAGAGCCTAAAGAGAGAGAAAACAGCAGTTGGCAAACACCAGAGGTGACAGTGAAATTAATGTTGTTGGGCAAGAAGAAAGATTGGAGCGGAAATCCCGTTGGAGAGAGGAGCAGAACTTCTTAAAGCTGGGCATGCCTGGAAGAGATGTGGCAGTGAGTTAAATACTAAATAAAAACCGAAAGAACTGTGGATGAGTTATGCAGAATTTTGATCTGTAAGGCAGGCAAGGGTTATGGGGATAGCTGGAAAGTGGGGTTAAGGCCATGAATTGGTCAATCTGATTTTGAATGGCAGAGCTTAATAATACTCTTATTTATTATGTTTTTGTCTCACACACCAGCAACAAGATAATGTCTTATTTTGGGTGTTTACACCATTGTATCTGCTGCTGTTAACTTTCTGCCAAGCCCATCCTGACACTTTTCCCCTGCAGAGCTTCTCTGAACTTGAATTCAGGTTGAACAAGTTCTGTCAACGAGCCCATCTTTACTGATTGAACAGTAGTCTCACCTTCCATTTCTTCCTAAACAGTTATAGATCATCTCAACCACTATTGGTTTTTATGCCTCAACATTGATATAAGCTAGTGTTATGACCAAGATTGGATGACTCACTGTTTCCTGTTCAAACCCCACTCCTCCACTGGTCACAATAAATTTTAAATTTAACTAGGTTGGTGTTATGTCCAATTGAGACTTGGACTCTGTCAGGTTTTGTATTAAGGACAAGTCAGCCCGATTTCTTTTGTCAACAACAAATAGCTTTCTTTATTACCAAAAGCAAATTTACTCAAAGATGAAAAGATTATCAACAAACAATTGGGATTATCATACCCATGATAAAAGTACCGTGTGCACAAGTCCGGGAGAAATAAAAAGTGAAAACACTGCACAGTGTAACTGGAACTGAAGTGTTTTCCTGGGATAGTTGTATTTGGTTGATTTTTTTTTCTGGAGACAGTGGATAGATTCCATGGAATCTTTCCTAATTTGTAATAATGACCTCTGTATTCAGCTTTCACAGTTTGCTGAAAGGAATTGCAAAGAAGGAGGGAGTGAATGATGGGCTGTTGGAGATGCAGGCACATCTCAGATTCTGAGTTCAAAAATGCAGAAGTCTTATCCCACCCACAAACTGGGCAATGTGATCTCTCTCTGAAAGTTCTCTAGACTGTGACTCTGTAAAAACTCCCTGCTGCTCGCAAATGCGCTATTGTTGTACCTGGTGCCTTTTATTACCAAAGTGTTCATTTGATTAAAAGTTCAAGATATAAATATATGGTTCACATAATCTTTTAAATAATACTATTTGCATCACTTCTCATTGTAACAGTAGTTATATACATACCAGAGAAGAGTGCTGAAGCAGGTGTTGCTTTATGCAGAGTGTGATCAGAAACTGGGACTTATTGCCACATGAAGTGGTTGTTGTAAATAACTTGGTGCATTTAAGGGGAGACTTGATGCACTCCATGAGAGAGGAGGGAATGGAGGGATATGGGAGCAGGGTGGAGGAGGTAATTGGAATATGTGGAAGCTTGTGTGGCTTATGGACCAGCATGGAACATTTGATCCTATTTCTGTGCTGTAGATTTGATGTAATTCAATGTAATATTTTCTGCTGTAGTCTCCCTTATTGACCATGTTTGCTGCTCATTTGAGTTGTTAACTGAAACATTTGATAGTTGTTCTTGGTAGTTAGATTGATGGCAAACAAATTGAGTATATCATTTTTAAAAAAAGTTTTAAAATAATATGTGCTATTATCAAAATGGATAAGCAAGAAATTTAACATCGTGTCGACCAAATTTAACATTAGAGATGTGTCCGTCATATTCTACCACAAAGTCAGAAATCACACAACACCAGGTTATAGTCCAACAGGTTTATTTGAAATGTGGACTATAACCTGGTGTCGTGTGATTTCTGACCTTGTCCACCTCAGTCCAGCACTGGCACCTCCACATTATTCTACCACAAACCAGTTGTTTTCTCTATTGGCTTGCTGTTCGAGAAAATGTTTGATTCATCATGTTGAGAAAAGGATTACTTTTTAGATTTGACTGTCTCCTTGAGCTTAATGTAGCCTTCAGTAGTGAAGTCAGTAGTGCCTTGGGATCTGCGTCATAAGGTTGTGGATTCAAGCCCCGCTCTATAAACTTGCACCCATAACGTAGGCCGATATTCCAGTTTAGTACTGAGGGAGTGCTGCCCTGCAACAGGTACCATCTTTCAGTTAAAACGTTAATCCAAAAACCTATTTCACCTAAAATGTACAACGTGAACCAAGATACACCTATATCCAAGGATTTTTAATCTATATGGAAAGCTTTAGGCAAAATAGGAACTCAAAATATATTAAAGAAAATTGAAATTTAAATACAACATGTAAACATGGCTTGTATTCATTTATCTATATCTGGGAGAAATCTTTCTAAGAAATATATTAAATGAGTTTTTAAAGTTAGAAAGCATGTTAGAGATTTAAGGAGGGAATTTGAGAGCTTGGGACATAGGCAACTGAATACACAGACATGAATGGTGAAGCAAGTAAAATCATGGGTGCACAAGAGCTGGAATTATTGGTGTGCAGGTGCCTGGGGAGATGTGGGGCTCGTGGACATTCAGAGATAGGGAGGAGTGAGGCCATAAAGGATTTAAAAACAAAGATGAGAATTTTAAATAGAGATAACAAGGTGTAGAGCTGGATGAACACAGCAGGCCAAGCAGTAATAGAGGAGCAGGAAACCTGATGTTTCAGGTCTGGACCAGTCAAAATTTTATTTGACTGAGAGTCAACGAACACAAGCATGTACAATTTTATGATTCTCCAAATATTTAGCAACAGTAAAATGACATGCTGGTTAATTAGGAACAGGAGTAGGTTATTCAGCCCATCAGATTACTCTTATGATTGCACACAGCATTTCTGCCTAGAGTTCTGTACAGGTTAATGGGCAGTAAATTTTGACTTTTCTTCATTCAGGGTTGTGTTGTGGTATAATTCACAATATGAAAGTCAGATTGCAGATAATGTAACAGTGTGGGTTACACCAAAAATAGAACACCGTGCTATATTCTATTTGTGAGTTCCGCATATGTTGAGTTTGGGTCCCTGCCTTGTATTGTTGTCATGTGTTTGTGGAACTTCAGTTACATGACTGATAGAGTATCTGATATTTCTTATACAGTTTCTCAGCCGACCACTTGATTTCTTCCTCCTGTCTCAGCCCGTCAGCCATATTGATCATTTTGCTGTCAGCTCTGACCTAACCCCACCTCCATCATCGTAATTTTCTCCACTTAACCACTGTAACAACCCCATTGTCACCCTGAAGGCCTCAGGACCCTCTGACTCCAGTGCAGCCCCTGGTCTGTCTCTCTGACTCACTGCTTTTTCTGCAGGTTTCAGTGAGTTGGAGAGAGATGAGTGGACAGGGTCAAGGCATAGCAAGAACTAGGAAGAGGAAGGCAAGAGGGAGAAAAGCTGATAAGAGGCAGACTAAAGACAGAAAAATAGAGAGGAGGGAGAGAAAAAATATAAGGACAGGCACAGTGGTAAACGGAGTGAATCTGAGACAGAGAGTGTGAAAGAGAGTCTGCGGTGATTGGCAGGCAGAAAGAATCAGCATAGGGGATAGAGAGACAATTTCAGGGCAACATCATTGGAGTTCAGCTTGTACATTGTGTTTGTTATATAACCAAATGGGGAAGGCTTTGAGTGCTGCTGATATTTGAGATTTGACATTTAGTCCGTACAATCAGGAAGTGCTCACTTGACAATTGAGTTCTTCCTTTTTATTTTAAATAACAAGTGTTTGCAAAATCAGGAAGCAAAATATTGCACGGACAAACTGTAAAGTAACATAATAGCAGATATTACAGTGTACAAGATTTTCCATTCCTGTTCAGTCAAGTTGTCATAGAAAAACAGCAGCAGCAGCAGCAACAACATGTAAATATAATTTATGTGGCACCTTTAATCAGTGCAACATCCCCAAGGCATTTAATTGGCTAACATTCAGATGAATCTTGATATTGAGCCAAAAAAAAATATTACGACAGGTGAGCAAAGGTTTGATCAGAGAGAGGTTTTAAGGAGGGCAAAACAGTAGAGAGATAGGGTTTTAATGATAGAATTCCATGGTTCAGGGCCAAAGGCATTGCTGCCAGTGGGCAAAGGGCCAGAACTGGAAGAACATTAAGTTCTCAGTAGATTGTAAAGCTAGTGAAGGTTAAATAAACACTGGTCATAAAATCTAACTGCATGGCATCAATAGAGTAGCCACTGTGGAAGTTTGAGTTCTCAAAATAACACAGTGTGGAGCTGGAGGAACACAACAGGCCAGGCAGCATCAGAGGAGCAGGAAAGCTGAAAGATTTTTCAGGAAAGATTTTTCTGAAGAAGGGTTCCGACCTGAAACGTCAGCTTTCCTGCTCCTCTGATCCTGCCTGGCCTGCTGTGTTCCTCCGGCATCACACTGTGTTATCTCAGATTCTAGCATCAGCAGTTCTTTCTATCTCTGAGTGAGTCCTCAAAATGTCTGACATGCATTCTGACCACACCCCAAACTCTAGGATGGACACTTGCATGGACATGTCAAAACAAAGGGACAGGGATTGGCTGCCTCAAGCCTGCTTCATGATTTAATGAGCTCTTGGCTGATTGACTCTGGCTTTAAGTCCACATTCCTGCCTGTCCCCCATAACACTCATTTCCTTGTAGATCAAAAATCTGATGGATTTGCATTGAATTAAGTACTGGGGAAAAACTGAAGTCATACCTGGGGTAAAGCAAGGTGTTTGTAGTCCTTGGAGGCCATTATTTTCACCTGCAGGAACATCTCTGCAGGAATTCTTAAGGGTGGTATCCCAGGCCCAACCATCTTCAACTTCACCATCAATGACCTTTTCTCCATCATTAGATCAGAAATAGAGATATTTGCTATTGATTGTGCAATGTTTAGCACTATTCACAACTCCTTTGTTATTAAGCAATCTATGTTTGTTTGATTGCTTGATTTATTGTCACGTGTACCAAAGTACAGTGCAAAGCTTTGTTTATAAGCGGTATAGGCAGATTATAGTAAGCAAAGGATGTACAGACCAAAAAGATTTAGACAGAGGCATACAGGTTACATTGCACAGGGCGTGTGCCAGCTGAGTTCAATGTCAGCAAGATCAGCATTATTTGAGGCTAGAGAGACCATTCATCAGTCTGATGACAGCCGGGAAGAAGCTGTTCCTGAACCTGCTCATGCATGTGTTCAGGATTCTGTATCTTCTGTCTGATGGAAGAGGTTGTAGGAAGTCATTACTTGGGTGCAATGAGTCTTTGATGTTGGCAGCCTTTCTGTGGCAATGAGCTATGTAAATGGAGTCCATGGATGGAAGGTTGGCTTCTGTGATGGTCTGGGCTGTAAGTAGTTTCTTATGGTCCTGGGCAGAGCAGTTGCCACACCAAGCTGCTATACACCCGGACAGTATGCTTTCAATGATGCATCTGTAGATTTTGGTGAAGGTCGTTATGGACATGCTAAATTTCCTGAGTCACCTGAGGAAGAGGAGCATTGTTGTGCATTTTTGACTGTCGCATCCATGGACTTCCAGGACTGGTCGTCCGATATTGTCACTTTGCGGAACTTGGTGCTGTTCATTCTCTCAACCTCACTCACGTTGACATAGATGGGGGCATGTTCTCCTCCTCTTTAGCTGAAGTCAGTGATCAATGTCCAAATGCAGCAAGACCTGGATGTGCCTAGACTTGGGTTGATAAGTGCACACACCTTTTCTGAATGCCCTGATAGCAACATCATGAGGGTTACCCTGGATCAGAAACTGAACTGAACTAGTGTCTACTGGAGCAGATCACTGTACATTTGATGTGTTCTGTAGCAAGACTTTGCTGCTTTTATATTCTATCTCCCTTGCAATAAAGGCCATTATTCCATTTGTCTTCCTATTTACTTATGATTCCCGCATGCAAATACTTTGTGATTCAGGCACAAGGATAGCCAGATGCTTTTTTACTACAGGATTCTGCATTGTTAATTTGGATAAAGGTCACTGTTTGGGTAATATTTTGATTTTCTATTCTTCTGCCAAAGTGAAAAATCTCTCATTTTCCAGATTTTACTCTCAAATATAACCTATCTAAATACTTCTACAGACTCTTTTGTATCCTCTTGCTTTCCTATCTACTGTTGTATTGTAAGCAAATTTAGCTACAATATAATCATTACCTTTATCCAAATTAACAATGTAGATTGTAAATAGTTAAAGTCCAGCAATGATCCCTGCAGCACTCAACTGATTACAGTTTACCAATCTGAAATGAACCATTTATCCCAGCTGTTTCCTGTTCATTTGCTAATACTCTATCATATTACCCCAACACCAGGAACTCTTGTGCAATAACTTTTATATGATTCCCCATCAAGTGCCTTTTCTACTGTTATGAAGATGCTTTACATTTAATATTACTTGGAAGACAGGTTTTGAAGGATTGTAGGAAAAAAAATTATTTCACATTTTGTGGAAGTACCTGGAGCATTTCTTTTAAAATATGTAATTGAAAGGTCACTGCTGACTTTGGAGATTTTTAACAACGCTTTCGAGATATTACATGACTAGTGATTACTCTTTGCTTTGGTTTTGAACAGTGACTGCTTAGGGAGATTCTTGTTTCATCTGGTTCAGTTTGAGGAAAAACCTGCTAAGAACAAGCTGACCAATTGACCTCTCCCATTTCTGAAAAGAAAATCCTTTAATTGGTTTAGGGTGAAATCAATTTGTTCTTTTGACAGAATGATTGAAAAGAAGATTTCAAGATTGTATTTCCTGAGCAAGCTGTTTATGCTAGACTTCAGAGGCAATTGTGCATGATTAATGACTGGATCAAATGTCTCAGAACATTGAAACAACAGACTCTGGAACATTCTATGATTTATCCATTTGCCGTCAGGAATAATCCATTGGGCAAAGTGTTTTCTTTCAAAAAGCCAATTGCTGCAGATAGTACTTTTCTTCCCCATTTTATTTCCTGAATAGATGAGTGTGTTTTGTGTGTGTTAGCATTTATGCTTCTTTATTATTGACTCTCTATATTTACTAATTATTGCATTTTTGTTGCATAAGTTTTGTTTTGATTATAAACCAACAGTTGTGTTTATTAAGAAACCTGGTTGCTGGATCTTATTTTTAACATGATATGGAGAAAGTGTTTTATTTGTCAACTTGGTAACGAGTAAAAGTAGCTTATTTTATGCTGTGACTCATGGAGTAGTGTGACTACAGTGATGGTCTACCCTCTCCAGCCTCAATCGTAACAGACCTCCAAATAGACTGTTTTTACTGCTTCCCCTTTATCCATTAATCAACATAGAACATGGAACAGTACAGCACAGTACAGGCCCTTCAGCCCATGATGTTGTTCCGAACTTTTACCCTAATCCTAAGGTCTATCCAACTTCCACCCCTACCTTATACTATCATCCTTCTAATAGATAGCCTATCTAATAGCCGCTTAAATGCCCCTAATGAGGCTGGCTCCACTACCCTCTCCGGCAATGCATTCCACGCCCCAACCACTCTCTGAGTAAGGAACCTACCTCTGACGTCTTCCCTATATCTACCTCCACTCACTTTAAAACCATGCCCCCTTGTAATAGCTATCTCCACCCTAGGAAAAAGTCTCTGGCTGTCCACTGTATCTGTACCTCTGATCATTTTGTGCACCTCTATCAAGTCACCTCTCATCCTTCGTCGTTCTAAAAAGAAAAGCCCTAGCTCTCTCAACCTTTCCTTGTAAGACCTTCCCTCCATTCCAGGCAACATCCTGGTAAATCTCCTCTGCACCTTTTCCAACGCTTCCACATCTTTCCTGTAATGAGGCGACCAAAACTAGGCACAATAGTCCAGATGTGGCCGAACCAGGCTTTTGTATAGCTGGAGCATAACTTCACAGCTTTTGAACTCAATCCTTCTATTAATGAAAGCTAACACACCATACGCCTTCTTAACAACTCTATCCACCTGGGTGGCAGCTTTCAGGGAACTGTGGACATGAACACCAAGATCCCTCTGCACCTCCAGACTGCCAAGAATCTTTCCATTAACCCTGTATTCTGCTTTCAAGTTTGTCCTTCCAAAGTGATCACCTCATACTTTTCAGGGTTAAACTTCATCTACCACTTCTCAGCCCAGCTCTGCATCCTATCAATGTCCCTTTGTAACCTAGAACAGCCCTCTGCATTGTCCACAACTTGACCCACCTTCATATCATCCGCGAACTTATTAATCCACCCTTCCACTCCTTCATCCAAATCATTTACGAAAATCACAAATAGAAGAGGACCCAGAACAGATCCTTGTGGTACACCACTCGTAACTGAGCACCATGTTGAATATTTTCCATCCATAACCACCCTTTGTCTTCTAAGGGTCAGCCAATTCTGAATCCATTCTGCCACATTTCCCCCTATCCCATGCCTCCTTACTTTCTGCATGAGCCTGCCATGGAGAACCTTATCAAACGCCTTACTTAAATCCATGTATACCACATCCTCAAAGAACTTAAATACATTTGTCAAACAAGTTAATTTTCACAAAGCCATAATGGCAATAATACAATAAATACTATATTATACACTACAGCAGAGGAACAGGCTCGATGGCCCACGAAACCTGAGCTAATTCCTAATCTTTATTTAAATCTGCTACTTATTGCCCATGTGTGGTTTCTGTCCCTCTGATTGCCTCCTGTTCATGTGTCTATCAAGATATGCCTTAAACATTGTTAACATGCCTGCTTCCACCACCTCCACTGGCAGTGCATTCCAGGCACCCACCACCCTCTGTGGGAAAAATTTTCCCTGCACTTCTCACCTAAACTTCCCCCCCAACTCACCTCACCTTGAACCTGCGCCCTCTTTCACGCTTGACCTTGCCATGCTGGGAGAAAACCTCTGACTATCCACTCTATCTATGCCTCTCATAATTTTGTAGACCTCTATGAGGTCACCCCTCAGTCTCTGACTTTCGAGTGAAAACAATTCAAGTTGATCCAACCTCTTCTCATCATTAAAACCCTCCACACCAGGCAACACCTTGGGAAACCTTCTCTACACCAACTCCAAAGCATCCATGTCCTTCTGGTAGTGTAGTGACTGGAATTGCGTGCAATATTCCAAATGTGGCCTAACTAAAGCTTTATAGAGCTGTAACATAACTTGCCAACTATGCCCCAGTTGAAGGAGGCAAGTGTGCTTTATGCCTTCTTGACCACCTTATCCATCTTTGTCGCCACTTTCAGGGATCTGTGGACCTGTACGCTCAGATCCCTCTGTATGTCAATGCTCCTAGGGTTCTGCTATTTATTGCATAACTCTCACCTGAATGTGATCTTCCAAAATGCATCACCTCACATTTGTCTGGATTAAACTTCATTTGCCATTTCTCTGCCCAAATCTGCAATCTATCAATATCTCGCTGTATCCTTTGACAACCCTCCTCACTACCTGCAACTCTGCTAATGTTGGTGTCATCGCAAACTTTTTAATCAGATCACCTACATTTTTCTCAGATCATTCGTACATATATTACAAACAACAAAGGTTCCAGCACTGATCCCTGCGGAAAACAGCTAATTACTGATCTCCATTCTGAAAAGCACCCTTCCACCACTACTCTCTGCCTTCTATGACAAAGCCAGTTTTAGAATAGAATAGAATAGAATCCCTACAGTGTGGAAACAGGCCCTTCGGCCTAACGAGTCCACACCGACCCTTGGAGCAATCCACCCAGAC